TTATTTTTTCTGTTCCCCTCCATTGCAGCACTCCAGCAACCAGATATCCCTCCACATCTCAACAATCCCAATACAATCTTAGTTCTGCAACTGTGTGGACTTTAATTCCTCCTGCTTGTTCCTCATGCTACAGATCTGTGTACAGGCAGTTTAGATAGTCCACAAGTCATGCTACTTTTACAGGAAGTGTGAAAGCCTTCCTTGTCATGTTCTCCCAGGCAAATCTGCTCTGCCCCTTGTGCTCTCACTTCTCTTCAGGTTACAGTAACCCTCCCCTCAAGCATCTACTGTAAAGCCCTCCTCACTAGCTTAACAAGTCTGTTTGACTTGCAAGCCTGTCTTTGCAAACAAGTCCCATCCCTGCTCAGCAGGGCTCATTCCTCAGAGGGACCTGTGGTCACAGAAGTCAAAGCCCTGCCTTGCCACCACCCACACAGCCAAGTGTTGACCCACATGATGAGATCCCTTCTACCTGAGCCTTTCCCTGCTCAGCATGGGGAATGAGTGGCCACCAGCTGCTTCCCCTGCCTTTTACTCCCACCTCCAGTGCTCTGCAGCCATTCATGATATGCTCCAGGTTAATCCTGGCACACTTAGAAGAGCAACATAGGGTAGTAGTTCAAAGGCTGGACATGGCAGCTCCTCCACAGCCTGCCAAAACATCAGCTCACATCATCAGATGCCTGCGTCTCCCATAGGAGGGAGTTCCTGCAGCTACCAGATACCTTTTCAAGTGAACATGAGCAACAGGCTGAGCAGACTGACAAAAATCTATAGACTTGTATGGATCTGATTTGTCCCTATCTCAACCCTCTTGATCAGTGGTTCACTGTTTGCTCTGTGTTGCTTCTAGGATTAGGGACTTGGAGGCTGCCCTTACCTGTCTGTATGTAAGAAGTTTTGTTGTTCAGCACATCAATACTTGCAATAGCCAGCACCTGTGCTTGAGGTGGTGACAATCTCCATTTTCACTACAGGCACTGCTGGAATGGATTAGGATATCCAGACAACTGCACAGAACAAGAAACACCATAAGCTCCTTAAGGCATTCCGCTGTCTGCGAGCAACTCCTGCAACTGCTGAAGAGACAAACAGAAATAACAGTGTATTCCATGTCAGAGTCTGCGACCAGTATCACTAGTGGTTCTAAGCTAAGCTTTCCCATTCCCTCTTGCTGTCCAAATCAAATACAAGCAAGCAATACAAATGCAAGAAAGCAAGGTGATTTGTTCTTCAAATTAGCCCGCAGAAGAAATAAAAGAAAAAACCCTACAATCAGATATTTGTTGAGCCTAAACTACTACTCACAATCAATAAAAGGGTAGGAAGGGGATGTATGCTAAGTATCTACTTTTAATGATTTGTAATGACCTTGTAAAGGCATATCTGGTTACAAAAGGACAGGCTACAGTCACAATTTAAGCTTAAAAATAAATTTAAAATAAATAAAAAAGATGATGCAAGGATGAAGCCTTAAGCAACCTCTAAAAAATAAACCTGAATCGCTGTAGGCTTATATACTACAGATCTGCCTACATTCTATAGTGCCACAAAGTTCTAATGAGGTTTTTGTTTCAGTATTATTTTAAAGACCCTTGTAGGCAAGTTTAAACAAATCAAAGCTCCTTTGGAGGCTTGCAAGCAATCCTGAGCTCCCCTCCAATGACTAAGCCTTTCATCTTCATTTTTATTGCTTGAAACAGAAAATAAATTTTGAAGATATATAGAGGAAGCAATCCTTAGCTACCAAAACTCAAGATACTTGTTAAAGGGAATTAAAAAGATATTAATCCATGGAGAAAAGCAGATCCACCTACAATGGGAAAATAAAATATTTTGAATGCTTTGCTGCATAATCCAGACCCTACCTGAATGCAAAATGAATACTTATCCCGTTTTGGTTGGAAGAGGGTATCTCAGCTTTCTCTTAAACACAGAGTAGGTTTAGCAAAGTACACCTTTTAAACTGTCACAAATACAGAAATACCAGCAGGAGCCACCCTTTGCCTTGGCCACAGATTCCTATTTCCATAAAGTACTACAAAAAATGTAGTGTGATGACTGGCAAGGATTATTTCCAATAACAAATGCATTAAATCTTTAAATTATATCCTGTAAACCTCTGGGTTTGCAGCCTCTACCAGTTACCAACCATTCAAGATTCAGATTTCCTCTTCATGATTTCCTCTGTCAGGGTGGCTTGCAGTAAATATATGGCAAAACATTCATTCAGCCTTGCTTTTATGTAACTGATGCTGCAACTAAGCACTACCTCTGAAATTCATGCTGGTAGGAAAGTGGGACCAAGATCGCCATCTGCTGTCTCCTAATTACACTAATTACACTTCTAAAGCTTCTGGAGTGCATAGACATAGGCAAGACTTCACTACTTTGCTGTAGGAAGAGTATTTGGATGTGATAAACAAAAGCCAACCCTTTGCCATGTAAACATCCAAAAGGGCATCCAGGCCTTCATCCGAGCTACTTGCTACACAGACCTAGCAAAATTTGCTACAAAAGTCTCTTGCATTGAAACCTATAGAAAAAAGTATTCATTTGCTTTGAAATGTATATGCCATACTTTCCCAGCATGCTAACCAAATCAATCTATTAATTGAATTCCACAGCACTGTCTCCTCTCTAATTTTATGGCTCATCCTTAATTTAAATCACAAATAAATCAAGTACAATTATTTCACTAGCAGCAATATTGTACTACATACTCGTCTTCTCCAAGGCCGTCACCTAAGCGTGCTCTGTAGTAACGCAACTCTGAAAACACCAAGCGTTCTGACCCCGCAAAACGTTTCAGCATTTGCATCGCTTCGGACAAGTTGGGTTTCTTGAGCTTGTTCCTGTGAAAGCAGAATCCAACCACACTTAAAAACCCTAAGTTAAGGCATGTGGCTAAAGACACCTCTGGACAAGTGACAAAATGCTCAGCACCTCGACAAACAAAAAGCCAATTAGGTAACATGCACCTACACACGTGTGCACCTGCCTACCCAGCCAGACCTTCTGCATCATCTCCAGGCAGCTGGGCAACCTGTTAGGAGCAAACCAGTATTGGTTTGAAATGGATTGCATAGATCTTAGAGGCTGCTTTTTACTCTTACCTCTTTTCCTAGGAGAGAGTATTACTACTCTTTCACAAGCTCTCCCGAACAACCTCCAATATTCTGAGTTGTATCCATCTGTGCTTTTTTGGGGGAGCAGGCTTTCATTTTCCAGTGAAGGGTTATCAGCTACTGAAACATGAAGGTTTCTCACATCTTTCACTGTACAGACTTGGAGAACAGGGAGGATCGCCAGCCCACTGTTACATCCCTGCACTGTGAGATCCCATTTGCTCCAGAAGGAGATGGCAGTGCAAGGTCTGACATACCATCCCTGCTGATCCCAAACTTCCTGCCACTGGCAAGTCTAAAAAACATAGTGCTTGCTATGGGCTCATAAAGGATACAGTATCCCCCTCCTGTTCCACAAGCAGCCAATGGAGTTTCTCCTTCAAACAAATTGCCAACCTGATAGTCAGCTAGCATTGGTCACAATCAAAGCTGTTGCTTGCTCTAAGATCAAAGTGTTGACTCCTGAGAGTGACTTACACTTAAATCACACTACACATGAGTAATCATTACTTGAGCTGCAGCCAGAATCCAGCCTGAAAGCACCTAACCACACTGGAGAAACAGCAAGTTACAAGTAATCCTGGCCCTTAGAATGAACCTGTGCTCTTGCCAGCTTCAGGAAAACATGCAGAAAAATGCTAATTTAATAGTATAGACCTGATCTATTTGTAGTGTAACAAATTAAACCTGATGTAAAATCCTATTTTCACATGCAGTAAGAGATGACATTATAGTCTTTCCTGAGAGGCAGCCACCTGAACAAACTGAGCATATTTCACTCCTCTCATTTTGCTTGCAGAAAGCAGCCTTTATAAATCATGTACCAAATTTATGGATAAACGATTAAGAGATACTTATGGGTTTTGGGTTGGAACTATTGAAAGGGTTTCCAATTGAGGGCAATGGAACTGTTAAGCCTAAACTCCTGAATAACATAAGAAAATGAAAATCTACACATGACATTCCAGAACCAGCATTCCAAAAAGCCCAGTTGTGAGTCTAGCACATGATACTAACCAAACCTGTAGAGTCATAGAAAGCATGTGCATTTCTCCAAAAAAATTTCAAACAAATTTACACATATGCACATACACAATTCCATCCACTAAATAACATTGTTCTGTGCATTTTAGCATTAATCAACAAAATGTAATGATGACAAATGAGTTGCAGTAGCAGAGCACCATAGTGAAACCAGTATTATACTCTGAGTTGCTTTAATGGCTTAAGATATAGTCTTACACAGAAGTGGTTTTGCTTCTTCAGTGATTTGCTGATTTGTAAAAGCTTTCATATAGCATGTACAGAAAGAATTATTTGAATTCTGGGATTTGCTTGATTTTACTTTTAAATTGTAAAGATGTCCTAAATCTCACAGGAACAATAAGGAGGAACAACTTGGATGAAGCATCAAGCTGATTGAGCTGGTGCCCACAGGACCACTTACTAAGCATTAAATCAGCAGGCATATGCAAAAATATCCTCATATGATCTAGGTACCAGCCAGGGTATTGTTGTTTTGAATTATTTCTAATTTGAATGGTGAAAGAGAGAAGTTTTTTGGATATGCAGGACTAACAGTTACAAAACAATAGTTCATAGTAGAACCAAGCACATTTGATCTAGAGTCACTGAAGTCAAAACTTCTTTATACTGTTTTCCTGACCAAGTTTTAGGCTAGAATTGCATCTTACCTGCATAATTCACCCATAGTTTGAATTATACTTGCTAAGACTAGACAATTTCAAATTGTAATCAGAATTTGTCTTGGGAGTCTTATCAAAGATACCATCTGCAAGTAATAGCACATAGAGCTGCTAAAAGAGCTATTTTGCTCATAAATCTCCTTTCAGTGAGAAAACAGTCACCTACCTGTGTAGGTTTCATACCACCTTCACAAAGCACATAGTCGATTTCTTTCACGTTTGGACGAGTACAAAATTTGAACAAGCAGTTAATGGTCTTGGATTTTTTTTTTGTCTAGGGTCCAGGCTGGATCTATGTACAGTCAGAACCTTACATCTGATGAGCACCAATTTTCTTCTTAGGAACCACAAGAGTAAGGTTAGATACATACTCCATTTTCCTTCATTTCAACTAACCATTCAGAATAATAAAATCCTGATTTAAGTACTTGAAAAATTCAAAACGTTTTGATCACTCCATTTTGGAACACAAAGAAATACCCACCTTCTTGACTTATTTTTGGCATGAAAATTTAAATATGGAAGCCAAATGATAGGCATTCAAGCTGCTCGTGTGAAACTGTTCTAAACAACTGCTCAGAGTGGAGAAAGGGAGATGTTTTATTCAAATATGCTTGTAAGTGGTGGCAGTTACAGTTCAGTTCATTATCAAATATTGAACTACTCCAACAACAGATCCGAGTAAAGCGGTTTAGCAGCTCGGTAACCCACTTGCTTTTGATTTAAAAGCTTGGCACGATTCTTCTTTGAACTAGGAACCTGGAAAAGCATGTCATCCAGCGTGCAAGCAGTTATCCGTCCGGAGGATTGCAGTCTTGTATAAATATCTCCTAATCTGGCAGAAAGGACAGGGTTTTCTTCCATCTTTTCCCTGACTGTAGCCAGCTAAGGAAGGGCAGAAGACATACTGTTACATGTCAGCAAGAGAAGGCATTACACTCTGTACAAGCATTCACTCAAAGAAGAAAAAGAAGAGGAGGGGAAGTCAGACAAAAGATAAAACACTAACGCAATGGTACGTAAGAAGGGATTTAAGTAGCACACATTACACACCACCAGGCAATTACACATGTGCAGGGGATATAAATTAGAAAGACTTTAAAGAAGTTTTTAATCTAATAAAGTAGCACAATCCTGCTTTCAATGCTAGCACAGACTAACACAATTATCTTTTATTTAGATCCAAACAATTTAATTGCTTCCTGAAAGCTCTTCTCCAAGTCAGTGTAATTATTTATACTGTATTATCTAACATACTAAATTTGCAGTTCTGATCCAAAAATCATACTCCAAAACATTGAAAAATTTCAGCAAATATGCCTTATATACAGGAGTATGAATTCATGCATGAGTGAATGTGTAAACATTGTTGATCAACAACTTATTGCAAAAGGAATGGGTTAAGAGTAATGTTAGATCTTTCAATGTTAAAAATTTGTCAAACAAATATACAACACTGATACACACAACATCTATTGCAACATAGTTGGATGAACTTGGGCACTAAATTCTGTAAGTGAACAGCCTGAATCCCTGATCTGTGTGCATCAGGGATACTATGTTTTCTATTCAACTCAGGTCGTTATTGCATACTCACCACCTGCTCAGAAAACTCAATTTTTTTCACGAAGCGAGGAGTATCTACTTCCACTGCTGCCTCTAAGGTCTTTATTACTTCTTCTAATGAACCAGACTTGAGCTGGACAAGTACCTGAAGAATAAGATAAAATCCACATGAACAATACATATCAGAAAGGTTTTTTTGTGTTTTGTTTTTAAATATCAGAGGAAGACATTATGAAACAAATCAGGAACAAAAACATTTCTAGATGCAACATTGATAAACCATTAACCATGAAGGCCAAGGGAATGACTGATTGCCACTGGTAATATTCCTTTTTTTTTTTTTTACAAATAGGACCTGGAAAGGAAGGGCCAGCCTGGAGGCAGATCTCCTCTAAAGGAGCTGCATTAACTGTTTTGAAATATATATTTTTCCGCCCTTCCCTCTTTTCCTTCTGTAGTTGGTAAAGATCACGTACAGGAGATGCACATAGACTTTTTAATCAGGTTGTAGACCACACAACTAAAGGAATTTTATGTACCTACATAGTTAAGTACATACTTCAAAGGCCCAAAACAGGCCTGAAGAGAGCAGAACCAACACATTTACTTGGAGCTATGGTATCTTTAATCTTTTAGCAATAGAGAGGAAAAAAGTCATCATATCATAGCTAAACATTTTCCCAGGCCTATACTCATTATGCAGGATCAGTCTACTTCCCTGCTATAGTAAGAAGGCAACTTTGGTGTAGGGAGCATTCTTTTAACTCCTAGTGCAACTCAATCACCTGACAGAAATTGACTGTTGGCAGACAGTGACCTCAGCAACGTTACCGAATTAAGTACATGCTGCTAAGAACCCGGCCTGCTGTTACTGGGCACTTGAGTTTTGTCCAGCACAGTACATTTCCCTGCACAACTTCTACAAAGCAAGCATACTTACACTAATATTGTTGTACAGTTTGTTTTCTGTTTTCATTATCTGAGAATAATAGAATTGGGCTTGTGCTACATCATTCTAGGAAGGAATAAGAAATAAAAACATACAATTATATGTGTGACACTTTCACAATAAGAGCTGAAGAAAGATGAATTCTTACTTGTCAGTGAAACACAAAGCAGTCTAAGCCTTTAAACCCAGAGACAATGCAAAGAGGCCATGGAATTAGCAATGAAATTTATAATACTACCACTTCATACATTTACATCTGAATAACATCAGATCACTAGCCTGATAGTGCTCACAGAAGACTTTCAGAAAAAAAGCAGGGAGGGTTTGAAACTTGCTCTGCTACCTTGGATCATTTTCACAGCATGGTTTAAGCATGAGTTATATGGAAAAACCTTACCCTGAAGCTACATGGTGTGGAGAAGGCTACACAATCTCTCAGGCAGCATGGCAATACATATAAGAGCCTTTAAATATGTCACCCTAGATAAAGATTGAGTCACCTACGCAAACACTTTTAAATAATTGTTTTTAATGGCATATAAATGAAGCCACCACTAAACATAGCAGCACCTGCAGGACTGGATCCATGGATACCTCAACCTGCTGCCTCTCTTCCATTTTAGGAGAATCTGCCGCATGATGCTGTTGGCAACACAATGTGCCTATGCATTAGACTCAAGACATTATTAGATTTCAGAATTCCCATATTCAATTTAGGTAGGAATTACCTACAATACGACTCTTTCATGGGCATAGAAATTATAGCACTTGAAGTTATTGAATTGCCCACGCATGCAGCATGATCTCCTCTGTCTGCCTTGTCTTACTACCACATTGCACACCACGCATGGAGATTCAAATATAAGCCACAACAAAAAGTGCTATACCTGTTTCAGAGCAAAGGCCACAGCAAAGTAGAACACTCGTACTGGTAACGTGTCACCTCTTAGCTGTGCTTCTTCAAGCAGCTTTGCAGAGATTTTGCAAGACTCCAGGTTGTCCTGTGTAGAAGTTTCAATCCAAGAGGCAGTTATTAATTCTGTGATCCAAAGATCAGAGGAACTGTAGAAGCCTAAGCTCACTGCATTCAGAAGCCAATGCACTGCTAGATCAGCAATGCAATTGCTTCTACATCTGAACCGGCACTTCTTGAGAAATACAACACCCGAAGAGGACATTCAGAGCTACAGGGTTCAGAAGAGGGTAAAGAGGGTAAAGATAGCTTTCATTATTTTAATACAATAGCTATGTCTGGCCTTGTTTCAGTTGCTAAACAATTTAATATTGCCCAAACTTGAGAACTAGCAGCAGCAAGGTTTCTGAAATAACTGATACCACTGTTCTGCAGAATAGCCTTCACGTTACTCTAGTATTTGCTGTCAATCTTTGTTGTTACTGTTCAAAGTGTCACTCCTGCAATACACAAGCATTTAGCAACAGGGTCTCTCAGGGGATACTTTTCTAATCTACTGTAGAATAGTCAGAAAATTTAGGAACATTCTGACCACTGAGAGACTGATAACTAATTGATCAACACACACACATTATATATACACACACACACACATATATGCATCTTGTTGCCATCAAATGACCTGCTGAGATTTCCTGCAATAAAGGAAATCTGTTTACCTTAAAGAAGTGCCTTGCAATGATTTAAAGCATCCCAATAATTGACCTCAAAAGCAGTTCTGTACAAAGATTAAACATTAATTCCTCTGTTTATCCACCAGGAATAATCCCAGCTTTAATCCCAGCTGTACATTTTTCAGAGTTGACCCCTAACATGGTTATTCAAAAGAAATCGAGAATTAACCAGCTACAAACCCAGGACTGCTGTTAATGCCAGCTCCATTATTTCCTGCACTCAGGGAAGGAATGTTAAAGTTATTTTCCTGAGCTTCTTACATTGCACCGTTAGCAAAAACATTGAGCTCAGGGGTGTCCCCTCTTAGCTGGAGGTTTTAGCATTTACCAGTTATAGCAGAAGGAACGAACAGATTAGATTTTTCAAAAGACCTCCTTCTATTCCTCTTTACTGTACAAAGAGTTAATGCAAATTATTCCCTTGTTGGTAGTGTAAAAACAAATTTACTCTGGCTGTTACAATAACTGGATGGATTTTTAAGAATAGAGAAGAAATAATTTTTAATCAGCTCACTAAAATAATGATAAGCCAGATTCTCCACTGAAAACTGACAAGGACAGAAGCAGCAGACAACAAATGTCTCAAGAGCACCTTCCCTGTGCATAGGCCATGGATGCTCTCAGACAGCAGGTTATGGAAAGAACTATGCAAAGATTAGAGAGATATGAAGAGATGCTACCATAGATGGAGTAAAGTACACCTCAGGAGAGCACAGCTGGGCTCTGTGAAAGTTAGTTGGATGGAGAGGAAAAATAAATGGGGCATGTCTGGCACAAAGAACATAACATGTATGACTTGTTTCAAGCAGCCAAGGAAACACAATTGCAGCTCAAGCAGAGAATACAAAAACAGGTCCCTGAAAAGGGAGGTCCCTGCAGAGATCCCTGAAAAACAATGTTTATCACTTAACCAACTACAGTGTCAAATTTCTATCTTGGTGATTATATCCAACACTTCAGATATTTGCTTTGTGACATTAGCTCTACAGAAAATCATATACCTTCACTAGGTCACATATGACTAACACGCCTAAAATATTTGCATTAGATAAGGAAGGACAGAAAATCTATGAAAATAAAAAGGCAGCAATTCAATCACTTATCATGTAGCAATATGAAAATACTTACCAGTTTGTAGCATATTGCAAACGCTAGTAGATAGGTTTCTTTGTTAAAAGGTACGCCTTGTTTTTTCATTTCTAAGAGAACTTCCAAAGCATCTGTCAAAAATGAAGCAGCAGTATTTCACGGGTTGAAGGTGGTACTAGTAGTAACTAAAGCCTGTATTCATACTTTTCCCTTGTATTCATAAAGATCAAAATGATTTTCTTTTGCTTAGATGTTGCACTGGCCACTCTGTGCACACTAGAGACACAAAAACTAGAAGCCTCCAGCTTCTTTTATAAAGGAAAAATGAGTATTCTTCCCTGCTCTGACAAAAATAATATTGCTAGAAAAGTCTTATAGAAATTACTGTTTCAAAAACCAAATAAAACAAACTTTGAATGGGGAAACCAAACAGCTATGGGAAACTACAAGTCAAAGAATTTAAGTCTTCAGAGGAAAGTACTAGGAAAAAAAAGAGTCCTAAAGTATCACAACTGGATAGAGTCATAATTCTGCACTATTGTGGAAGGAAGACCCCCTGAAAGAATCAACTAGGTAAAGCCTTCTACTGTTCTTACCCACTACAGTGAAATTCTCTGATGTTTTTGACATATTTATATTTTGCTTGGTCCTCCAAATCCACACACTCAGCAATACATATATATATGTAAAATATATATATACACATAAACATATATACACAAATACAGGTAAGAAACCTCTTCCCCCCCAAATGCATTTGTCAAACATAATACTTACTTTCATAACGGCCCTTTTTAAACAACATTGTCATCAGAATATGGAATGACATGCTCTCTGAGAAAAAGCCCCGCAAATTCTGGAAGAGTAAATGAACAGAGCAGGTTTAAAGAGAGTCACTAGGCTGACTGCAAGCAGAGACTCCACCGTACACAGCACTGAGAAGCAGTGATGAACCCCATCTTTATAAGTTGAATGTATGGCTCTCCAGGTTCCTTGAACATCCATCTCAAGGAACTGCTAAAACAACGACTCAGGATGCTGAAAAGCTCACTTTAAAGTTAAACAGAAATTTCAGAGCTTTCTACCATTTCTTCTAAAAGACGGATAATGTCATTCAAGCTAATGGAAGCAGAACTCACTGGCAGCTAGCAGCTCCAAAAACTTGGTAGATACACAGCCTCCAAATCATTACCAACAGGGATTTTTGAACAYACAATATTACTGATAGATGATTAGATGTTGGATATCATACATATATTGACATAATAGCACACAATGCTTATACAGCATTTTACCAGTTGCAAAGAAGTGTTCAGAAACAAGTCTTTGATATAGTTTATTCAGGATAAAAAATGGCATGGTGCCCAAGCTGTTTGATATTACACTCTCTCCACAGGGTTCAAATGGAGTTTTGAGTGGAAGAGTACAGCACATCTGTTGGTGTAAATAATTCAAGGGACTACAGAAAACTGCCACAGGAAAACGCACAAGTTTTCATTTCTAGGAATGATCTAACATAACAAAGACAGAGAAACATGCATCAGCTGTGTTCAAGTGACTTTGTTATTCATTACTTTTTATTGAAATCATGAAATGACATAGAAGTCCAATAATAAAAGCATTCTCCCTGTGCCTCCTTTTTTGATGGTGATTTGGTGGGGAACTTTCACTTTAACAGTTTTCACCTCTTTTTTAAGTAGTTACATCTATAAGTTAAAATTGTATAAATATCCTTGTTACTGCAACAGACCTGCTTCAAGAATCTGAGCTCACATATGTAGAAAACCAGTCATAGTCTGAACGAATAACAACTAAATCTTCAAAATACTTAGGTGCAGTTACCTGATCTTTGATAAGTTCTAATGCAGGTGTTTCAAGGTCCAGCTCATAACACAGTCTCATAAATAGGGGCCCAAATCTAAAGTCATGTAGAGATGCAATTCCATTCTGTTCATGGTACCTATTGAAAAGATTCCATAAAGTTAAATGTATGATATGTAAAATTTATCAAAGAAAACCAAGTCTAAATAGCTAGTCAGATCTGTATGTGTAATGACAGATGCAGCTTCTCTGTAGCAAGTTAGTTAGCTCAATCAATATTTTTGACTTAAAAGAAATGGTAATATGTATTTTCTTCTATTTCCATTAAAGAAAGCTGCAGCAGATTGATAGTAGAATGGCCTCTCCCACCAGAATTCCTAGCTATTTCTTTCCAGTCACAGAGCACAGAGGTAACACCCATCTCTCCCTGCTAAAATCCAACAATACAACAAATACAGCTCTTTCTCTCTTGCACTTTGATCTAGAGAAAATGGGTGGTGGTGGTGGTTGTATTTTATAATCTTATTTTCACAGTTTCTGCATTGTAATTGCAAGAACGGCTTTAATTCAGAAAGCCTCCTACCCTGCCATTGGTGCATCTAGATGAGTCTGTAATTGTGCACTGTAGTATCTTTAAGCTGAGAGGTACCCATCTCTAGCAGACTCTCTAGTGACTCCTGCTTACTCCCATAATCTGACTGTTCAAGCCAAGAATCTCTAAAGGTTTGCAAATCCAAGGTAAAGAAGAAAAACTTATTTTAAAGGATTAACTACGCAGACAGACAGTAAATTAGGACAAATCCTCATTTGCAGACAAACTGAGATCATTTGATAAAAGCAAGATATAAAAGAAAACAAAATACTGATAAAAGCAAAATAGAAAAGAAAACAAGCAATGTTACCTGGATTGGTAAAAGTACCTGTAAATAGCATCTCTGGCTAGTTCCACATCGCAAGTAGTCTGACATAAATGCAGTAAAATTTGTAATTCATGTTTGAAAATAATTTCATTTTTCTTTATTTTTTCTTTAATACTTTTAAAATATGGACCTGAAAATGAAAGACATTACAGTAGCAAGCTATAGACAACACCATTATCTATATTTCAGATACCAAGTATGCAACATGGAGAGTTAAAACTGAAGATTTTTTTTTTTTAACCACAACTAAAAAGGCATAAAGTTTCCCAGAGTAGCATGCTTAGTTATGCCCACAAAGCATGAATTTTCCAGACTAAAATTGCACCTACCACCTGGCAGTTATACTCACATGTGGAATGTTGTTAAATGCAAGTAACAGCCCTCAGTGCTGATGCACAACTATGTCCTGTGACATCTCAGAGAACAATGCACGAGTAATATGTACGTGCATATTTTTTCATGATGTGTTCAAAAATGCACAGAAATTTAAAAACATTTTGGATCCAAATTATATTTGCAAAGAATATATGATCAGACTTATTACTGTTTTTTCCATTTCTAAATCAATATTTATAACTAAATTCTTTTTCACCATGCACAAAGAAACAGGTGGTTAATTGTACAACAGGAGTAAAATGTGAGCCATATTTTTTTTTTAAATTAGCTACATCCTTTCAGAAAATTGTCGAAGTGAAAGGTTTTGTATCACTAGAACACCTGCAGATAATTAAACAGCTGCAGAAAGTTCTTGCCTGATTTCTCAAGGTAGATTCAAGTTTCCTCAAAAAGAGGAGTTTTCATACACTTAAACCTGCATGACAAAAATCTCTGTTAAAAAGAATGTAAAGATTTTGCTTTTTACATCCTGCTGGGTAACTTTTTTCCCCATAGTCTGAGTATAGGTACCATCTGCAATCAGATGTAGAACTGAGAAGTTACATTAGACAAAAGAAAAAAAAAAAGCTAAAAAGAATGAAGTAGCTAAATTTACAGAGCAGATTAAAAGAGAATTATCAGCATAAGCCTTTTCTGGACAGCTAAGTAGCTGCTAGGCTTTGCATTAACTTTCTCTGAGGAAGATGTATTTGAAGCAAGGCTTACAACAAACCAGTATTAGACCACCTAACAGATTCATACGCACACAGGCACCTCAGCTGTAATGCAAACAACTTATATAATTTCAAATTCTTCATTTTTCAGTAAAGCATATTGTTTCATTCTACAAAGGTTCAGACATTCTGAACATTTTTTGCGAAAAAACACACAAGAAGATATGTTGCTTTAAATTAAGTCCATTCTGCATCATATTTTGATAGCTTTATCTACTTGTTTCCCAGCACTCACACTAGTATTAAAAGTGATGATCACCAAAGAAATAATACCTTTGTTGCCCTGAATTTCATTTCTAATTACCACTTTTGTCTGCTGAAATTCTTGTAGCTTTATATCGTCTTCTGTTAGCAGGTACCGCTTTCCTACCAGGAGAAACAAAGATAAAGGTTACATTTTGTATCACACAGTGTGCTTTAGCAGCACTGAACTTTGCACATAAACTATTGGTGTTATTTGCTAGGCTAGATCTCTGGCAGCACAACACTTAAAACAAGTTAAAACAACTGCATGGACTGAAATTGCTCACATCACTGACAAAAAATACAGTAACTTTTCTAATATGCATTTCTGTATTAATATATATCAAAAAACTGCACATCTTTACCAGACATGCAAAACAAGCTGAAATGGAGAGAGCATAACTCTCACACCTAGTCAAAATACGAGATGATTCCGCACAGAAATAAGATCTTTCTTTCCATCTTACAGGGATTTTTTCAATCTCTTCATTCACTGCCATTCACAGCTTCCCCTCCTCATGACTGTTGCTCCCATTACTGCACTATTCTGAGAGCCCCAAACCGATGAGGAAACTAGAGGGGAGGGTGGAAACAGCAAAGAGTTATTTKGGGGGGGGGGGGAGGCAGAAGCTCTCAAGAGACATTGGTCTCCTGGTGCTGCACAGCTGCCAGAACGGAGATAGGCATTAAACCTATAACCTCAAACACAACTTTGGATGCCAACTGCACTGTTTTGCAAGTTCCTTTAACAAAAGGCACGATGCCAACATCRTTGGAGAAGCTCTTGCTGACACACACAGTAGTGTACAGGGGCTACAAACTGCAACCAGTGGTTTTGCAACAGACAGCAATAAAGTTTACACTGCCAAAATCAACATATATACGAGTTTTTGGTTGATAAAGAAACTGTGGAGGGACAAGAGCAAGCACCAGGCCAAGTAAGGTCATTCAGGCTCCTGTATTTCTCCAGCTATAAGTTGCAGGCCACGTAAATAAAACGGCTTGTTTTCTACCTCAGCCAGGCAAGCTAGCAACACACTCTTTAAAATGAGGACGGAAAACAAATAAATAGCGCCCACCAAGGCAGCCACGCTCACTAAAGTTAGCAGGAACAACCGCGGCTCGGCTCTGGGGGTGAGCAGATGTATTCGCCCATGTGGCACGCGGTTAGGCGGGTGCTCCGGCCACCCACAGCCGCAGACTTGCCAGCAGGCTGGCGCTGAACGACCACCCCGCCCGGGCGCCTCTCGCGCCAGCCCCGGGGTCGGGCTGAGGTGTGGGGCTGCCCGCGCTGATCCCAGGCAGAGCAGAGCTCTCCCCGGGCCGCGCTCTCAGGGAGCTCCCGAGGGGCCCGGCTCCGCCCGCCCCCGCCGCCCGCCGGGAGCTGTAGTCCCCGCGCCGCCCCCGGCCCGGCCCGGTGCCGCTGCCCGC